GCGGTCCAGTTTTGGTCGCCGGTACTGAGAAGGGATGTCCTTGAACTGGAGAGAGTCCAGCGGAGGGCAACCAAACTAATTAGGGGAATGGAGGACCAGAGCTATGAGACAAGGCTTCTGACCTTAAACATGTTTACGCTGGAATTAAGGGGGGATAGGATTTTCATGTACAAGATGTTCAATGGTGACAGCAACATTGGCAACAAACTGTTTGAGATTAACTCCATTACAAAGACTAGAGGCCACCGCCTAAAGTTGGTGGAGAAAAAATTCCAGCACAATGGGCGAAGAGGGTTCTTTACAGTAAGAGCGGTGAAGGTCTGGAACTCACTGCCATCGGCAGTGATTTCAGCCAAGAGTGTAGATTTGTTCAAGAAATGTTTGGACAATTTCTTGGGGGACCGTAATATCCAGGGATACCAGTATCCCTAAGAATGAGATGATGCGTGGACCTATATGGGTTGGACTTGATGGACGTATGTCTTTATTCAACAACCAAATACTATGTAACTATGTAATTATACGGGTATATTTTTCGCAACATGGACTAATTTTCTAGCACAAGAACTGACCACGACTAAACTACAGGACATAATGCCCCTATTTCAAAATTCAACTTGGTACCTCTTAGCCCAATCTGAAGGATCTCTGGGTAGGCTTGCTGTTGTGTACGCTGAAATGTTTTTCACTTATTTTCCTTTTATATATTTTCTTATATTTTGTCTCTGTTCACTCATTATACGTCCCATGTCCTGGTGAATTCCTCTTTGCCAGAACCTTTATATTTGTGATGCATTCCTTTCTTGTACCTCATTTGAACTATCTATAGTCTACTTCTCTTTGTTCCCTCTTGTCCTATCATATGTTACTGCCACCACATACTTTGTTCATTGTATTAATATGATTCTGCATTGTGTATGGAGATTATATCTGCTTGGATTGTACGGCTGTACAACGGTGTTTGACATCGGCCTATCTCTTGTTCATTGTATATTATACGAAATCTAATCAAAATATACATGCAAAAAAAACAACTGTAAGGCAACATTAACACTGAGCGACATGAAAATCACGCGATTTTGAGCAATATTGTGCGATGAGCGATATTGAGCGACTTTTTCTTATTTGGCTGTATGCAATCAGGAGCAATATCGCTCGAAATCGCTCGAAAAAAGTGTCATGTAGGAGCGGCAAGCTACCAGCGACAAGCTACCAGCGACGAGCTTTGAGCGACGAGATGTGAACAGCTCCATTGAAATGGATTGGAGAAGCTACATAGAGCGATATCGCGTGGAAATATGAGCGATATCGCTGCAAAAATCGCTCGATAAATCGCTCAGTGTGAATGGGGCTAAGTCATTTCAATAACACCTGAAATAACTTAAACATGTAAGCTCTATTATCACTTTAACCTCTTGCCGTCCGCCCGTAGTCGAAAAACGGACGGACGGCACTGCTGCATCTGCGGGTTGCCGTCTCCAGACGGCAATTTTTTTCTGCACGCACGGGCACAAAAGACCCGACAATGCACAATAGTACCGCAGCGCTGAATACTGAAAAATGGCCTGGATGGGAAGGGGGTTTAACACCGCGGATGTCAACTGGTTAATATAATATGGCACTAACACATTCTCATAGTACTGGGAAGGTTGCTGGCATTCCATCCTTTCCACTTTAACACTGACCTCCTTCCTTGTCCAGAGTCCTCCAGAGTTTCAGGCGCTCCTCGGCTACTATTTGGGCCACCGTCTCTGGAGCCAGCCCATGGGAGCTTATAACTGCCTGCGCTGTATCAGCAAGCTCAGGGCGATTCTTGGACAGCACAGTACGCAGAACTTCACTTGGATCTCGAGAAGACACTTCCAAGAAGGAACAACCAAGATCCTAAATTGAAAGAGCAGATAAAGTAATGCACAGCAATAAGGGAACTTAAAACTAGAGGTGCACCGAAATGGAAATCCTAAAACCGAAACAAAACCGAAATAAAAAAAATTGTCAGGCCAAAACCGTTTTTTCCATTTTAATTTTTTTAAATATTTTATTATTTATTTTTTATAAACTTTTTAATTTTTTTTATATTTATTTATCCCCTGTTATCAATGAACAGGAATGAGTGTTCCTGTTCATTGATAACATGAGGACACTGTATGTTTACTATACCTACAACTATGAATGAACAGGAGGGGATGCAGATCACTCCCATTTATTCATAATTGAGGATATAGTTAACATACCATGTGCTCAATTATCTACAAACACTCAGCGATCACTGATCGCTGAGTGTTTGTGCTCGCTCTCCTCTCTGACACGCCGATCGAGCTGAGCAGGAAGGTGAGCTCAGCCTCCTGTGACAGCGCTGGCTGTCTCCGCCCACACACCTCTCTGCCGGACTGGGATAGGAGGCTAAGCGGTGTGGGAGGAGAGACGCCGGCCGCTCACAGCGCTCTCGCCCTGCAGCGCTCGGCCGGCTGTCACTTTCTTTTCTCCCCGCTGGAACACAGAGCAGCGCCCAGCGGGGAGAAAAGAAACCAGGGATGCGCCGATGTATCGGCCGAAACATGGCCCTTCCGGCATTATGCCAAAGGTGCCATTTTTGGCCGATATATCGGTGCATCCCTACTTAAAACCATATTAGATAAATACCTAATTAGCAGTTTTTCCAAAACTTCATGCAAGATTACCTGGCTCAGCTCGTACATACACAGCAGTTGTCTGCAAAACGTCTTGCCATGCTTACAGGTACCTTTCAAGATCTCCAGATTCATCAAGATGGGGTCAGTGGGGCTCTGAGTGGTTGGAGACTCCACACTGGATGCTGCAGGTATGGGAAAAGTGTAAAGACCAAGCAATTCCAAACACAGAGACTGACAGCAGAAAAAAGCTGAGCGGTGCATCAAGTTATTTTATTGAACATTTTTGTCTAAGGTTGGTTTATCCCAAGCATGTGGTCTACTGGAGATCTGTTCCATGCATCTACTACTCTGATGGTACAATAATACTTTATAATATAATTCAGAGTACTCTTGAGCTTTCTTCCTGCTAGTTTCAGATCATGCACATGTGTTCTTGGGCTCAGCTTCACATTAAAAATACTTCCCCCCTCAACTTCATTTATTCACTTGCTGGGTCCATTTTTAACGCTACTGCTGCTATACAGCTGCTTTTAAAAGGAAAAAAAAGGCACAATTTAAGCACAGTGGGGTGCTTTACAAATGTGCTTAGCGCTTTGGGACTTTGAAGCCAGCTGAGCGTTAGTAACATAAATGAGTAAAAACACAAACAAAAAAACTGGTAATAAAGCTTTGTCATGTGACCTGTCAAAATAATGTGACAGGCTCTCTTCCAGTTATGGAGTGCAGTTATGGTCTCATTTGCATTATGAAGACAGAGATACCGCAAGCTCCACCCGACTGCCTGCATTTCATGAATGGGCTGCACAATGCAGGCCACGTTGTGGAGTAGCCTAGAGGATATCTATTATACTTTATAAATGAGCCTCTTAAAGTATTTAAAGTTTTCAGTCATGCTTCCCCCTTCCCCTTCTTTTCTCAAGACTGTTTTACTTTTCAGACCTTTCACCATTTTTTTGCTTGCCTTTGGACTTGTTCTATCTTATCAATATCTATCAAGTAAGGTCTCCAGAACGGGACACTATTGTCAATGAGGTCTAAATCAGGATCTATACATTGAAATCAGGCTTTCCTTCATCTTACTGGTGATTCCTCAATTGTACCCCTTTAGAATTTACAATGTGTATTCAAGTCACACCTACAGCAGGACCTGAAAATAATCCATTAAGCTTTGGAAGGTAACTACACCTAATAACTGGTTTATATTTTAAAATGCCAAAGGGTTTTTGATGAAGCTAATTCAACATATTCAATAAATTGTATGAACACCTAAGGGTCCAATGCTCTTTCATCATTATAGTCCCATGAGGATACATAGGAAAATAAGATTGAGGAACCATTTTATAAATTAAACTGATTCTATGAGTCAGAATATTACTGTCATCTCAGCTCACAGATTGAAACAAACAATCCCTAAACCAAACTTGTCACAACTGAAATTCTTTGAAGTTTCACTCACTGTTTTCCAATAAGATGGTCTTTAACAGTCAATGGGTATTTTCGGAAAGGTAATAACAGCAAATCCTTTCTAAAGCAATGCCTCATACAATTTTACTACATATATATTTATCAGCAATGGAGGATGAATAAGTGAAGCTTGCATGTAGCTATGAACTTATACAAAATGACACTCACAGCTCTGTAGTCTTTTTCTGCGGCTCCATATGTTCTCTTGTGCCTCTATGCCTGCTGCAAGGATATTCTGAATGCCAGGATGCAGCTGATGTATTGACATTTCCCCTGAGGCCAGAGCCCTACAGCTCAGCACAATCCATACATCCAAATGGGACAGCTGGAAGTACCTGCATACACGGCTGGCCTCGTGAACCTTGCTTTCATCTAGAAGCAGATCTATGAGGGAGCTCAGTACCCGGGAGCAGTCTGGTATATCCTGAGTGGTATTACAAAGTGGAGGCAAAGTGGCAATATCTAGCAGCAGAGGGGTGTTAAGCACAGGTATAGAAGAGAAGGAGAAATCTGTGGTCAGACTAGCGAATGCAGACAGTGCAGGGAGCAATCGTAGCCCACCACTACTATCTACTATCTCCTGCTCAATGCGACACTTCCAGATCTGCTGTTCCAACTCCTCTAAAGTCACCACTGGTGTACTATCATCCTTTGAAAGCCAATGTCCAGAAAGAGTCAATAAAAGCTCCTGTTCTGCCAAGGATTCCATTTTCTCTGCCGTGAGCACTGTAGGGGCCATGTAATGGGATGCCTGAGATCGGAAGAAGCTGGATGCCATCAATGGGGAAAGGTTGTTGGTGTTGAAAATCTCATGACACTTCCTCCAGTGCTGTGCCCGACTCTGAGGACATTCCCACTGCCCAAGCTCTTGCATTAGGAGCCGGATCTGCAACACCTATTTAGGACGTAACATTGTCAAGAACTTTTACAATTGCTGTACAATTAGCTTTAGAAGAAGGCAATAAATAATATGTCAGATGCAATCTACAAATCACAGAGTGGCACCAAGTAAGGGTTTGGTAGGGTGGCTTATGATGATATATCATGTTTACAAGTCACACTGCAAACATGTTGATGTGTTACCATGTGCTACTCAACTCTGGTTACCCCAACAGGTCTTCCACTGGTGCCACCTAGGACTTCAGTACCGTTACAACTAAGATTTTTTTTTAAACTACAATGAAATTAAAGAGTAACCCCAGTCACAAATAACAGCTCATTAATATCTATCTATCTATAGCAGCTTTTGCTGCAATACTCATCTTTATTGTTCTTTTCAACCCCGAGATGTCATCAGACTTCTGGGTTGGATGATCATCAGAATCATTCCACCCACTTCCTCTAGGCCCAGGCTGTCATGTGCCCACTCCCCAGCCTGTGACTGGATAGTGGAAAAGCAGCACATAAATGAGTTCAACTATATATCACTCTGCTCTCTATTCCTATCAGCATGCTTCTTGTCAGCAATTAACTTATAGGCTTACTGTGCTGCTCTTCCCTCTTTCAGTCTGAGCTCTGCTGAACAGGGACTGCAAGAGGCTAATACCAAGTAAAATTCAGATCCATACACTGCTTCCATATTAAAATACAGGAACATTTTACACAGACACTGGGAACACTGGGTTGTAATTTAAATATATACCAACTCTGAAATATTCAGACAGGGGATACAACGTGAGGTGGTGTTTATTATGTTGTGTGAACGAGCCACTAATATTACAGGGCTGCACTAGTCTGTATCTTTTATATCTTCTCAGAGGCCGGCTTACATGTTTATTATTTCAATGAACAGCGATATAGGTGCACTGTGTGCTGATCATATACTTCTCTATACTTCAAAATATATATATCATTTTGTGAAGAAGGCCTTCAAACTCTTTCAATGCAGTTGTCTATTTGGCCCCCCTGCCAGCTTCCCCCATGGATGACACAACTTTACCTCCTCTATGACCAGGTTGTCAGTGGGCAGTTCTGCCAGTTTTGCTACTTGATGTGCCAGAGAGAACTGTCCCTCATCCAGAAGTATCTGCAGAAGCCTCTGACATTCTTCCTGTAGTGCTGCAGGACTATAGTCATTTAGAAGTTCCCTTCTGATGAAGAATGGTTGGTCCTCTATGATTTCAGTGAGAACCCTTAGTTTGTGTATATCCAGATCTAGAAGACACACATGTTATAATATAATATTACAGTGCTTAAAGAGGAGGCATAGCCAAAACTTTGCTTTAGTTTAGGGTAGAAGAAGAAAAGGGTTAAAAGTGTCCTGCTGGGGAGATTTCCTTATACTTCCTGCCTTGCATATACAACAGGAAGTGAGAGAAAATCTCGCCGAAGTGAATGGATTTCCTATCTTACTAACATTTGTCCCCATTGGAAGATTTTTCCTCACCTCTTGCTCTCATGACATTATACATTTAAGATTTACTCTTATTTAATATAGGTATTTTTATAGCGCTGACAATTTACGCAGCGCTTTACGTTCACATCAGTCCCTACCTTCGAGGAGCATACAATCTAAGGTCCCTATCGCACATGCACACAGGGCCAATTTAGACAGGAGCCAATTAACTTACCGGCATGTTTTTGGAGTGTGGGAGGAAACCAGAGTACCCGGAGGATACCCACAGAAAGAACATGCAAACTCCTTGTAGATAGTGATCTGGCCGGGATTCAAACCAGGGACCCCAGTGCTACAATACAGAAGCACCAAGCACTAAGCCACTGTGCTACTGACTTATGTTTTGTATCCGGGCCATTGGTCACCAGGGCAAATGGATCCCCTCGGCGGAGGGCATAGGCTGAAAGGGTCTAACTCTTCCCCACTCTATCCAAAACATAAAAGATTGTCTTTAAATACACTTTAGGTACGAAATGCATGTGTTTACCTCCACATAAAGGCTGACAGGTGGCGTCACACAGAAGCTGCAAAACTTTCTGCACTTCGTATGAAGTTCGGCTCTGGAGGAGGAGAACCCGCAGAAGATGAGATGCTTGGGTCTGAAGCCACACTACTGGGACTGGAAATGTAGAGGCGTCATCAACAGACTGGAGCTGCAAGAGAATTGGAGGTCACTGGAGGATACTGAGCCATGTGTCATCCAGGTCAGGAAGTCTCTTATTCAGGTAAGAAGAGACTCTTTCTACTGGCTTTGGCTTGGGATCTTACACTTGCCATTTATTGCACCATGTAGTCCAATGACTGATCATGGAAATATATATCTATAGATACCATGTTTCCCCGAAAATAAGACACTGTCTTATATTTTTTTTGGCTCAAACAAAACACACTAGGTCTTATTTTCAGGGTAGGTCTTTTTTTTTTTTTTTTTTTAAGGTACAACAATCCACACTTATTCATGTACAACGGTCTACATGTATTCATGTACAAAAATATGGTGATCAGGGATATCAGAGGTGCTGTACCTTTCCAAGAGCAACTTGCTAACCAATCGCTGGCCAGAATGATTATATATGAATCTACACCAGGGGTGTGGAATTCCTATCGTCCGATGCCCAGGACATGTAGTTCCGGGCATGTGTTTTTTCCTATAATTAGCCCTGCTGCAGGCAAGCAGCGGGGCTAAATGTAGAGCAGGCAACCTCCATTCTCTGATCTGCTCTGTGTGAACTGTGAGACAGGAGAGCTGTGCTCACAGTGCGTCCTGTCTCAGCTGTCACAGGAGATCAAGCACAATGCTCTATCTCCTGTACTGGAATGCAGGCTTCATAAAGAGCTCCTGTCACCTCCAAATGCTAACAAGCCCCTGTGTGATAGCAAGAAAGTTAAGTGGAAAAAAAATATATATGTATATAAAAAAAATGTTTAAATAAAAAAAAAGAAATAGAAATTAAAAAATAAAGTTGTTAA